GGAATAAAAATGTCAGTGCACGGACTACATATAAGAAGATATTAAATCTGAGCACTTCTTTGGGCTTTAGATGTTGACCTTTTCCAAAAACCAGTCTCTCCTTCAAATATGTTCTTGCTTTGTCTTAAATAAAATGTTTAATCAATATAGAAATGATCTTCTCAGCATAAGTATCATGCTTTGTTAGGCTTATGACTCCAACTGCTACCCAATGCATTGCGATTCTAAGATTAAGAAGAGTGACTTGCTTAAATATTTTTGCATCTTAAAAATGAGTAAAATATGAAAACTTACAAGGGAAATGGGCAAAGGGCACATCAAAGGAATCAGAAAAGAAGAAATGAAAGTGATCAGTAAACACATGGAAAAATGTAAACCTCATTAGTAAAAAAATGCAAACCAAACCAATAATGAGATAGCATTTTAAGTTACTACAATAGTCAAGGGTGTGAGAAAGTTGGCGCTTCATCCATTGCTGTTGGGGCTATAAATCTGCAGTCTTTCTCTGCAATATGAGAGTATGTGTAGACATGCTTCAGCTTCGACTTAGAAATCCCACTCCTAGAAATGTGTTCTAAGAAGATAATAGGACAAATGCAGAAAAGCATAAGTTTAAGCATATTCACTGCATCTTCTTTTTAAAATAGCATTGGGTGGATAACCTGCTTTTGCCTGGTCTCTGTGTGGAAGGACAGTCACTTCTGTAACACTTCAGGTCCCTCTCCCACCACACACTCCTCTCCAGAGAAACAGGAGCAACTCGTCTGTTTGAGGAGCCAGGGCTCCGCTCCCTCCGCTCTCACACTTTGGGATCAGTCTGCCTGAAGAGAGCTTGTGCTCCTACCCGCTTCCTGCCCAGTGGAGCTTTTATGGGGAAGACCTCACTCCATTAGTGAGGTCTGCAATCTTCCAGCTGTGCCTGGGCCTTTCTGGGAAACTTTATTTCCAGGAGCTGTACAGGGAATCTCATGGGGCTGCCCACCTGATCCATGTCTTCCACTATACTTTTATCCAAAATATGGCTGATATTTTGATTTCCATCTGTTTGAATCTGCTCTGTTGCTTAGTTAGTATTGAACTGGACCTTCCTGACACCCCACCCCCAAAAAAGTAGGATTTAGATATCCAAAAACATGGGATTGATTAAAAATATATGTCTATAAAATTGGATATGGTGGGTAATGTAGCAGGGGGGAGACATGGGAAAGGCAGTATATACAGAGAAGACAGGTAATGATTCTGTAGCATCTTACTATGCTGATGGACAGTGACTGCAATGGGGTATGTGGGGGGACTTGATAATAGGGGGAGTCTAGTAACCATAATGTTTAAGTAATTGTACATTAACGATACCAAAAAAAAAATTGGGTATGGTGGGGCAATTCAAAATTATTCCATTAAGGTAAGTACTGATAAATGAAAAAGATTCTAATATAGCACTTTGCATATGAACACACTTATGCATGTATATAGTCTGCTCTTTTCCTCTCTTCATCTGTATTTTCTAAATCTTCTGTCACTACATAACAAGTTAATTACATTTTTGCTTGTGTATAGATTGTATACATGGCTGTGTTTGCTATGTTCATGGCAACTGGTGTGTGCTTTCCCTTATTCTTTTGTCTTGCAGGCAGTTTCCTTGGTGGGGTGAACAGGGTCTTGGTCACAGGCAGGAGACCTGGAATAGGGCCAGCTGGACACCTCCTTTACATGGACATCTCTCACGGGATCCAGTCTGCAACCAACATATCAGGGTAAGGCTGAGTCATGCACCAGTGCTACCAGGTTCTGACCAGGCAGAAACCCCCAGGCAATAATGATCACTGTCTTGAGACCAGTAGTAATTTCCCAAATGACAGTGGTTCCTCAGTGTCATGAAGACCCCTCAGCACTGCTCTCCTCAAATATCCAGCTCTCTTCTGAGGAGAGTAGCAGGGAGGGAGCAGCTGTCTGAGGGCCAGTGTTGGCTGCATAATGTTCTATGTTCAGTGCAAAATAAAAAACAAGCAAAATGAAGAGTTTGAAGACTGTGGCAGAAGAGCATTAAAGCAGGTGTGGGGCCAATCTAAGTGAAGGACACTGTGCACCTGCATGGTCTTAGACCCACACAGCGGCCCTGCTGAGAGCCTGAACATTTTTTTCCCCTAGAGATTTTCAATATTGCCCAAAGGGATTGTTTAAATTATCAGATTGGATTAAATTTAAACTGCATTGAATTTATAATTAGTTTTTTCCCCATTAACCAGTGAATGGGAGCCAAGGAGAATGGTCAGATTAGTTTATGGACAATCAAGACTTTACTGAGTTGGGTGTGAGTCTGTGGTCCTGCTATCAGAACACCACTTTCTTTTAGAAGAGAGCTGGTGATCAGAGAGGTAAGCGATCACTCAAGGTCACCTAAGTAGTTAGTGGTGAAGTTGAGGTTTAAACCCAGATATGACTCCTAAACTCAGACATGTTTCTACCCTTCTGATGATGATACTAACTAAAGTCAGCGCTAAGTCTGAAAAACTGAACTTGAAAGTCAGATGTCTTTTAAAATATGCTTGTTTTTGTAAGCACACAGGTAAGTGTATGCCCCATCACCGATAGGAAGGATTCTGTCCCTCAGAGGGCATTTGGAAAACTGGGAGGTATTCTGGTTATCTGAGGGAGTTGCTCTAGGCATTTCATGGGCAAAGACTAGGGATACTAGGAAGTTGTAATTTGCAAGCAGTCCTACCCAATGAAGAATTATTTGGTGTTCTGCAAAACTTTTGAATGCCTCACCAGACACATAGGTAGGTGAAAAACTTGTTTATATTATGAATCCAGAACCTAATAATATTTTATATAAACTCACACTACTTTTTTCATGACTTACAAATAGTCTGGATTTCCCATGACTACAACTGTGTGAATTAAAGGAAGAGTATACTTGATTTGTTTTGGACTTTATCGAGAGTTGTTCCCCATTTTGGAAAACCACGTCACTCAGTGGCCCTGCTGCTTTTGGCATTTGGATCCCCAGGATAACCGTCTAAACGGTCTGTTAGGAGGTGTCACATTCCCATGGGATCCACATGTAGATGCACTGCCTGCCTCTCTAGGCTTCTGGTAAAGCTGTGCCTGAGCCTGTTGGCAAACACACTATTTTAGTATAAGTTCTATTCTTTTAAATCTTCCTCTGTGTTCTAGTCAGGGCCATATGTTGTTTTGTTAAAAAGTTGTATGTGTAGGTAGGCTACAGTTTTGTATGAATTACATTTTAGGACACTACAGGGAGCACTGAAAATATTTGCTGTCGAAAGGGTGAGTCTGGGATTGAGAGACACTGAGGTCAGAGACAGTGGGATCTGGAATCAGTAAAGAGCAGATCTTTTTGCAAGAAAATCTCAGAGTTATTAACTTTCCCTGAAGGGCTTATTGGCTATGATGGCAATATTATTGGGCCTGAAATGAATTAATAAATCCTTCAAGAGACTATATTCTGTGTGGTAGGTGTCAAGGTACTGGACTTAATTTACCCAAGGAATCAGGCTTTTCAGATGGCCTTTTAAAATTAAGTTTATTTTTGTCCTCTTGGCTGGACAAAGTTGTGCTTTTCATCTGAGGAAACAACCTTGGAAGAAAAAAAAGAGGAAAACTCTTTTGATTTAGGTTTATTTTTTCCTCTTGGGAAAAATATCCTTTGGAAGGTGAAATGACTGTGCAAGACACTCACATTGCAACTCCCTGTTCCTAACGTTATGGGGAGTCTGGCATCAAGAAGGCTTACGGGTGAAATGTTCCCATCTACTGAGTTTCTTGCACAACCATGTTCCTTCTGCAACCCCAGGACTTGGCCCTTTTGATGGGAGGGGGTGTCTCAACAGTCTTTCTCTGCAATATGAGAGTATGTGTAGACATGCTTCAGCTTCGACTTAGAAATCCCACTCCTAGAAATGTGTTCTAAGAAGATAATAGGACAAATGCAGAAAAGCATAAGTTTAAGCATATTCACTGCATCTTCTTTTTAAAATAGCATTGGGTGGATAACCTGCTTTTGCCTGGTCTCTGTGTGGAAGGACAGTCACTTCTGTAACACTTCAGGTCCCTCTCCCACCACACACTCCTCTCCAGAGAAACAGGAGCAACTCATCTGTTTGAGGAGCCAGGGCTCCGCTCCCTCCGCTCTCACACTTTGGGATCAGTCTGCCTGAAGAGAGCTTGTGCTCCTACCCACTTCCTGCCCAGTGGAGCTTTTATGGGGAAGACCTCACTCCATTAGTGAGGTCTGCAATCTTCCAGCTGTGCCTGGGCCTTTCTGGGAAACTTTAATTCCAGGAGCTGTACAGGGAATCTCATGGGGCTGCCCACCTGATCCATGTCTTCCACTATACTTTTATCCAAAATATGGCTGATATTTTGATTTCCATCTGTTTGAATCTGCTCTGTTGCTTAGTTAGTATTGAACTGGACCTTCCTGACACCCCACCCCCAAAAAAGTAGGATTTAGATATCCAAAAACATGGGATTGATTAAAAATATATGTCTATAAAATTGGATATGGTGCGTAATGTAGCAGGGGGGAGACATGGGAAAGGCAGTATATACAGAGAAGACAGGTAATGATTCTGTAGCATCTTACTATGCTGATGGACAGTGACTGCAATGGGGTATGTGGGGGGACTTGATAATAGGGGGAGTCTAGTAACCATAATGTTTAAGTAATTGTACATTAACGATACCAAAAAAAAAATTGGGTATGGTGGGGCAATTCAAAATTATTCCATTAAGGTAAGTACTGATAAATGAAAAAGATTCTAATATAGCACTTTGCATATGAACACACTTATGCATGTATATAGTCTGCTCTTTTCCTCTCTTCATCTGTATTTTCTAAATCTTCTGTCACTACATAACAAGTTAATTACATTTTTGCTTGTGTATAGATTGTATACATGGCTGTGTTTGCTATGTTCATGGCAACTGGTGTGTGCTTTCCCTTATTCTTTTGTCTTGCAGGCAGTTTCCTTGGTGGGGTGAACAGGGTCTTGGTCACAGGCAGGAGACCTGGAATAGGGCCAGCTGGACACCTCCTTTACATGGACATCTCTCACGGGATCCAGTCTGCAACCAACATATCAGGGTAAGGCTGAGTCATGCACCAGTGCTACCAGGTTCTGACCAGGTAGAAACCCCCAGGCAATAATGATTACTGTCTTGAGACCAGTAGTAATTTCCCAAATGACAGTGGTTCCTCAGTGTCATGAAGACCCCTCAGCACTGCTCTCCTCAAATATCCAGCTCTCTTCTGAGGAGAGTAGCAGGGAGGGAGCAGCTGTCTGAGGGCCAGTGTTGGCTGCATAATGTTCTATGTTCAGTGCAAAATAAAAAACAAGCAAAATGAAGAGTTTGAAGACTGTGGCAGAAGAGCATTAAAGCAGGTGTGGGGCCAATCTAAGTGAAGGACACTGTGCACCTGCATGGTCTTAGACCCACACAGCGGCCCTGCTGAGAGCCTGAACATTTTTTTCCCCTAGAGATTTTCAATATTGCCCAAAGGGATTGTTTAAATTATCAGATTGGATTAAATTTAAACTGCATTGAATTTATAATTAGTTTTTTCCCCATTAACCAGTGAATGGGAGCCAAGGAGAATGGTCAGATTAGTTTATGGACACTCAAGACTTTACTGAGTTGGGTGTGAGTCTGTGGTCCTGCTATCAGGACACCACTTTCTTTTAGAAGAGAGCTGGTGATCAGAGAGGTAAGCGATCACTCAAGGTCACCTAAGTAGTTAGTGGTGAAGTTGAGGTTTAAACCCAGATATGACTCCTAAACTCAGACATGTTTCTACCCTTCTGATGATGATACTAACTAAAGTCAGCGCTAAGTCTGAAAAACTGAACTTGAAAGTCAGATGTCTTTTAAAATATGCTTGTTTTTGTAAGCACACAGGTAAGTGTATGCCCCATCACCGATAGGAAGGATTCTGTCCCTCAGAGGGCATTTGGAAAACTGGGAGGTATTCTGGTTATCTGAGGGAGTTGCTCTAGGCATTTCATGGGCAAAGACTAGGGATACTAGGAAGTTGTAATTTGCAAGCAGTCCTACCCAATGAAGAATTATTTGGTGTTCTGCAAAACTTTTGAATGCCTCACCAGACACATAGGTAGGTGAAAAACTTGTTTATATTATGAATCAAGAACCTAATAATATTTTATATAAACTCACACTACTTTTTTCATGACTTACAAATAGTCTGGATTTCCCATGACTACAACTGTGTGAATTAAAGGAAGAGTATACTTGATTTGTTTTGGACTTTATCGAGAGTTGTTCCCCATTTTGGAAAACCACGTCACTCAGTGGCCCTGCTGCTTTTGGCATTCGGATCCCCAGGATAACCGTCTAAACGGTCTGTTAGGAGGTGTCACATTCCCATGGGATCCACATGTAGATGCACTGCCTGCCTCTCTAGGCTTCTGGTAAAGCTGTGCCTGAGCCTGTTGGCAAACACACTATTTTAGTATAAGTTCTATTCTTTTAAATCTTCCTCTGTGTTCTAGTCAGGGCCATATGTTGTTTTGTTAAAAAGTTGTATGTGTAGGTAGGCTACAGTTTTGTATGAATTACATTTTAGGACACTACAGGGAGCACTGAAAATATTTGCTGTCGAAAGGGTGAGTCTGGGATTGAGAGACACTGAGGTCAGAGACAGTGGGATCTGGAATCAGTAAAGAGCAGATCTTTTTGCAAGAAAATCTCAGAGTTATTAACTTTCCCTGAAGGGCTTATTGGCTATGATGGCAATATTATTGGGCCTGAAATGAATTAATAAATCCTTCAAGAGACTATATTCTGTGTGGTAGGTGTCAAGGTACTGGACTTAATTTACCCAAGGAATCAGGCTTTTCAGATGGCCTTTTAAAATTAAGTTTATTTTTGTCCTCTTGGCTGGACAAAGTTGTGCTTTTCATCTGAGGAAACAACCTTGGAAGAAAAAAAAGAGGAAAACTCTTTTGATTTAGGTTTATTTTTTCCTCTTGGGAAAAATATCCTTTGGAAGGTGAAATGACTGTGCAAGACACTCACATTGCAACTCCCTGTTCCTAACGTTATGGGGAGTCTGGCATCAAGAAGGCTTACGGGTGAAATGTTCCCATCTACTGAGTTTCTTGCACAACCATGTTCCTTCTGCAACCCCAGGACTTGGCCCTTTTGATGGGAGGGGGTGTCTCATGGCCTGTTATTCACAATTTATTAATTATTTATTTTTGCCAGTCAATCATACAAAAATCACTGAGAAGAAGTTAAAAAATAGTACTTTACTTTGGGTTTGAGTCCGCACAAGTGAGTTGTTTGTTCTAGACTCTCGGGGTTGTGTCATGTAGTGACATCTGTTGTGGTCATTAGGGTAAAATCTTCCTCTCCCTCCTCTGGGCCCTCTCTCCACTGGAATGCTCCCTCTGCCCCTGCCAGCTCGCTGCAGTGGGACGAGGCTTCTTCAGGGACTGGCCTCTTGGTCTGCTCCGTGTGGCGTCGGGGTGACTGGTCTATCAGGATGGTGGGAAGGGTGGGCAGGGAAAGTGGTGTGGATTTTCAGGCAGGGTGTCTGCCCCGTAGTGGAAGCAGTTCAAGGTAAAGTTTAAGAGTCCTGTCTCTGGAACCAGTCAGCCAGGATTTCAATTCTGGCTCTACATTTTAAGAGCTGTGTCACTCAAATTCTCTGTGCCCCAGTTTCCTCATCTGTAAAAGAGGAATCATAATAATATCTAATCTTCAGGGATGTTTTGATGATTAAATGTGTTAATGTGTACACATGGAAATCAGGGAGGAAAAAAGCCCTTTCCATTTCACTTTGACCTTAAAAACGAAGAATGTTTTGTTTGCTTCTGTTTCCTCTCAGTTTTATTGCAGATTAGTTTAACCTAATCGACTTCTTTAATCTTTTGGATGGCAGGGCTAGGAAACAACAGGATCAATGTGAAGTAGAAGGAGTCATCAGCCTGAGCTTTCCATTTAGAGGTTGGGCTTGTTGAATTCTGCACCTTAGTAGGTCCCATGTAAGCCTAGATGAATTGGTGACTGACAGAAATGACTGAGTGAAGTACTATTCATTTCAGTGTTGGGCACCTGCACCATTCCAATCACTGAGTTGAGCCCTGTGGATACCCTGGTGAACAAGACAGACAAGGTGGGGAGGCAGACGACAAACAGATACGTAAGTAAACAAGGTAATTTCATTTATGCCAAAGTATTTATACCAAAACAATGTGGTATAAATACTTTGAAAACTACAAAAGCAAATTACTACTTTAGTTGGAGGGGTCAGTGAGGGCCTGATCACCCTTACACTGCATGGTGTATAGAAAGATTTGGGGAGAAAACATTGCAGATACAGTGAACAACAAATGCGAAGTCCTGCAGATGTAGGACTAGTCAGTGACCTGTTTTCTCTTTAGTGAGCTTTGGCAGTGTGATGTTCAAGGAATGTGTCCATTTTATTTATTTTCCATAATTTTCTTTCATTATTCTTTTACTTTTTGTACGGTCTAAAATGATGTCCTCTTTCATTCCTGGTATTTTGTAATTTGTATCTTCTCTCTTCTTTTCCTGATTAGTCCAGCTAGGAGTTTATGAATGTTATTGATCTTGTTTAAGAAGCAGTTTTTTGTTCTGCAGAGTTTTCTATTGCTTTTCTTTTCTCAATTTTATTGATTTCTGCTGTTATCCTTATTCTTTCCTTTGTTTTGCTCACTTTGGGTTTATTCTGCTCATTTTTTTTCCCTGGTTTCTTAAGGTGGGAATTCAGAATTTAGGAGAATTCATTCTAAGTGAATTTGAGAATTTTCTTATTTTCTAACATAAACATTTAATCCTCCAAAAGTGTTGTTTTAACTGCATCCCATAAATTTTGATATGCAGTTTTAATTTCTGTTCAATTCAAAATTTTGACTGAAAGCCAGACATTTGGACATGAGCATACTTACTCTTCCGCTAGGACTTGATTGTGGGGATTTGAGCTGATTGCAACCTCCCGTATTCCCCGCCAGCCTCCCTGTCAGGGAGATAGGGAGAAGGAGCTAATCAGGGCTTTGTGCCTTTTCTACTTCACTAGTGTTTCTCCTCACTCTCCCTGGTGTTCCTTCTCTTCTCTGTGACCGCTTTATGTTGAAAGGTCTCTCAGTCCTTGAATCTTTGCTCTTGTCTATCTACAGGCACCCTTGGAAATCTCATCCAGTCATGTGGTTTAAAAACCATCTATATGGAAATGACTCCCACATTTATATCTCCAGCACTCTTACCCAATTTATGTTTAAAATGAACTCCTGGTGTTCCTTCATAAATCTGCTCCACCATGAGCCTTAGTTGATGGCTACTTCCTTATTCTAGTCAGTCAGACTAAAGACTTTGGAGGGAATCTTTACTTCTCTTTTTCATGCTCTGCATCAAACCCACAAGCAAATTCTGCTGGCTCTGCCTCCCAAAAATATCCAGAATTTGGCCCCTACTGACTACCTCTCCTCTGTTGCCATTCTGGTCCAACACACCATTATCTTTTCCTCAGGGTTACTGCGATAGCCTCCAAACTGGTGTTTCTGTGTCTACTAGCTGCTCTACAATCTTTTCTCAACCCAGTAGTTATAGTGATCCTTTAAAACTTGAAGTTATGTATGTCACTTCTGTGTTCAAACTTGTTGAAGGGTCTCCATTTCACTCAGAGTAAGAACCAGAGACTTCACAATGTCTACAAAGTCCAGCATCATCTGGACCCTGTGACTTCCCCTGTTTTCTCCTTTGCACTCACCACTCCAGCCATACTGGCCCTCTTGCTATACCTCTGACATGCCAGGTATGCCCCTACCTCAGGGCCTTTGTGCTGGCTGTGCCCTGTGCCTGAATGCATTTCTTGTTGCCATCAGCATGGCTCATTCCTGCACCTCTTTCAAGTCTTTGCTCAAATCTCATCTTCTCAGTGAGGCGCATCCTGACCACCCTATCTAATATTGCACCCTGCTACTCTCGCCTATCCCTGGCTCTTCCATTCCCTTTACCCTGCTCTACTTTTTCCTCATAATACCATTGATTTTCAAAAAAAAATGTAGCTTGCTTAGGTATTATTTATTGTTTCTGATTTGTCTTTCTCTACTAGAATGGAAACCTCAAAAAGGACAGGAGAATTGTTTTTTCACTTGTATACTTAGCATCTTGAGTGTTTGGCACATAAATATTTATGCAATGAATGTATGACTCACCCATTGAGGCTGAGCACATTGCTGATCTAATCAAATCAGGGATCTCCTGGCAGGAATAGTTGTGAGGTGGGAGGTTAACAATATCTGATGTGGGTTCTACAATGCCCAGCTACACACTGGGGAAAAATGGATTATGGAATGATTGAGGAGATATTTGAGCCGTTTCCCAAATCTGGCATGCAAATTAAATAGGAGCTACATTTATTTCCTGAACTTATTTTACTTTTAACAAGAAGAAAAATTTGTGAATCTTTATGGATTGTGGGAAATAGTGGTAGCATTGAAATGCTTTTAGTTTTGCAGAGATGCCATATTACCTGAGACGGAGTGATGTAGGAAGTATGTATAATGACACATGGTTCCCCATACATAGGGAACACTTGGTACATATCTGCTGAATTTTGCCCAGGGCTATTCTTACCTGGGGAATCAGGTAAGATATTCTAATATTCTAATCAGAGGAATATATAATAGACTATATTGAATATATCATAGAAATATTTTAATTTTACTTATTATTTTATTTTATTATTTTACTTTAAATTTTACTCTTTGGTGCTCCAGAACAAACCAGTTCACTTTCATATGTGAGATCTCAAATGTTTGAAGGCAGCCTTTGTCTTTTCTCTTCCAAAGACTAAATATCCTCAGTTTCTTGTCTAGCTTAGTTTTGAGAATCTTCACCAACCTGGTCACCCTGTTTTGGATGAAATGCAACTTCACAATATAGTTTTAAAAAGTTAGTGACCAAAGTGGTTCACCGTGCTCCTAACTGAGTTTGGTAAGATGAGGTGCAGAGAGACCACTTTTTTTTAAAATTAAGGTATTGCTGATATACACTGTTTTGAGGGTTTCACATGAGCAACATTGTGGTTACAACATTCACCCATATTATCAAGTCCCCCCCACCCCATTGCAGTCACTGTCCATCAGCATGGTAAGATTCTATAAAGTTACTGCTTGTCTTCGCAGAGTGATCACTTTTAACTAGACATTATGTTGAATGTTTGTATTAATAAGGATGAGTAAATAAACAAATTAAGTAAGTATGTAAGGAGAGAGGGAATTTGACTAACCTAAAGAGTCAGAGGTCCACCTCCAGGTGTAGCTGGAGAACCACAGGCTCAAGGTCACCTAAACTCTATATTCATTGCTCAGCTCTGTTTTCCTTTGTGTATACTTCACTCCCATGCTAGCAAAGTCCATGTATTTCTTCTTAGAAACTCCAGGTTTATATAGAACCAATTCAGTGCTAAGGACAGAATTCTGGACAAAACCAACATTTAATGGGGGAGAAAGACATGTTGCTAATCTTCTAGTAAATTCTGCCACAAAGTAAATTATTTCAGAATAGTATGACTTGCTATTACTGGCTCCATACTGGCTTTTAGTGACAGCTACTTTCTATTGGATGCACTCACAGTGCTTCTTTATTTTGTCTGGAATTGACATTGAACTCATGATTTGAAAGTTGTAGAATCTATCCTTATCACATTTGGGAAAGTAAGAGTATCATTTCCCTGTCTTTTATCTTTTGATCCCTTTCTAGTTCACTCTAATTCTTTACAGCTCTACAGTAGTTCAACAAACATTTATTGAAAACCACATAATGGTACTTTCCGCATTCATATTTGCAAGTTCTTGGTGTCTGAGACAAGAATTCACATAGAAACTTGAATCCCTTTAAATCATACCTCTTATAATCTATTCAGCTGTCTTGACCTTCTAGTTCCACATCAAAGACATTTTTAGTTTGCATTCCTGGTTTTAAGAAACAGAGAGTTAATAAGGTTCACTCTAGATTATGGAGAAAGCTTTATTATAAAGTTATGATGTAGCCGTGAGGAAGAAAGGGGGCTCGTAAGAACAGGGAACTGGATTTCATGGAGGCTGCTGTCTGTAAGCAGGACCCAAGCAGCAGGAACTCGAGGCTCTTCTGACTACTTTCACATCAGTCTTTAAATCAGTCGTCTGTGACTGTCACTTTTTGACTCACTCTGTTTTTCTTAGTGTCTTTTATTTTTTCTAAACAGTTTTATTGAGGTATACCTGACATACATTAAGCTCTACATATGTAAAGTATACAGTTTAATAACTTTTACATGTTACACCTGTGAAGTCATTCCCACAAGACCAACCCACAAAAGTTTCCTCATGTCATTTTGTGACCCCTCCCTCCTCCTCTCTGCCTCACTCCTCGTCCTTGTCCCCATCTGTTCCCTGTCACTGTAGATTGGTTTGCATTTTCTAGACTTTCATATAAATGGAAACATTGTATATACATTTTTTGACTGACCATCATCACTCAGGGTAATGGTTTTTAGATTCATCCATGTTATCGTGTGTATCAATAGTTTACTCCTTATTTCATCAGGCAGGATTCCACTGCATGGTTATTCCCCAATTTGCGTATCCTTTCACCTGGTGATGGACATTTGGACTGTCTCAGATTTGGGCCTTTACAAATAAAGGTATTAAGAAAATTTGTGTACAAGTCGTTGTGTATATGGATATAGGCTTTTATTTTTCTTGGATAAATAAACTAGCTGTGGAATGGTTGTATCATATGGTAGGTGTGTACTTGACTTTTTAAGAAACTGACAAACTGTTCCCAGAGTGGTTGTACAATATAACATTCTTACCAGCTGTACATAAGAGTTCCAGTTAGTTTACATATTCGCCATCTCTTGGTGAGGTCAGTCATTTTATTTTTAGTTATTCCAGGGTAATGTTTTATTGTTATTTTAATTTGCATTTCTCTAAGGATTAATGATATCGAACATCTTTTCATGTGTTTATTTGACATATATCTTTGATGGATCTTGGAGGATCTATTAAAACCTTTTGCCCATATTCTCTTAAGAGTGTTTATTTTCCTATTACTGAGTTTTGAGAATTCTTTATATATTCTAAATACAAGACCTTTATAAAATATGTGATTTGCAAATATTTTCTCTCAGTCTTA